ACATTATGTAAGTTTAAGTTGTACAACATGATAATTTGATACATGTATATATTGTGAAATGATTGCCACAATAAGGTTAACAGATCCATCACCTCACATAGTTTTTGTGTGTGTGTGTGTTGAGAACTTTTAAGATCCACTCACTTAATGTAGATCTTTCAAATAGACAATGCAGTGTGGATAACTATAGTCACCATGCTGTACATTACATCCCCAGAATTTATTCATCTTAAAACTGGAAGTTTGTGCCTTTTGACTGCCTTCACCCATTCCCCCACCCCTGGCAATCACCAGTCTATTCTCTGGTTTTATGAGTTTGGTTTTTTTATATTCCACATGTAAGTGAGTTCATACAGTATTTGTCTTTCAATGTCTGACTTATTTCATTTAGCATAATGCCCTCAAGGTTCATCCGTGTTGTCACAAATGGCAGAATTTCCCTTTTTATGGCCAAATAGTATTCCAGTGTGTGGGTGTGTACGTATGTATATGTATCACATCTTTTTAATCCAGTCATCTGTCGGATATTTAGGTGTTTCCGTGTCTTGACTATTATAAGTAATCCTACAGTGAACATGGTGATACAGAAATCTCTTTCAAATAGTGATTTCGTTTCCTTCAGAAATGTACCGCTAAGTGGAATTGATGGATCATATGGTAGTTCTCTTTTTTTAATTTCTTGAGGAACTTCCACACTGTTTCCCATAATGGTTACATTCCCACCAACAGAGTATGAGGGTTTCCCTTTCTCCACATCCTCACTAGCATTTGTTATCTCTTGTCTTTTTGATAGGTGATATATCATTGTGGTTTTGATTTGCATTTCCCTGATGATTAGTGATGTTTTCTGTTGTTTTCCTATTGTATATTTCATTCATTTCTGCTCTAATGTTTAGTGTTTCATTTTTCTGCTGACTTTGGGCTTAGTTTGTTCTTCTTTTACTAGTTCCTTGAGCTGTAAAGTTAGGTTTATTTGCGATCTTTCTAATTTCTTAATATGTATTGCTATGAACTTTCCTCACAGAAATTCTTTTGCCGTATCCCACAGGATTTCATATGTTGTATTTCCATTTTCATTTGTTTCAAGATAATTTTTTATTTCCCCTTTCTTGTTTCTTAATATTGATGTTTATTGCTGTAAACTTTTCTCTTAGAATTGCTTTTGCTGTATTCCCTTGGTTTTCTTATGTTGTGTTTATGTATGTGTCAAGATATTTTTTTACTTCCTTTTTAATTTCTTCTTTAATCCATTGGTTGGTCAGGAGTGCGTTGTTTAATTTCCATGTATTTATGAGTTTTCCAGATTTCCTCCTGTTATTTCTGCTTTCATACCATTGTAGTTGGAAAAGATACTTGATATAATTTCTGTCTTCTTGAATTTCTTGAGACTTGTTTTGCAGTCTGCCATATGATCTGTTTTAGAAAAGATTCCATGTATCCTTGAGAAGAATGTGCATTCTGCTGCTATGGATGGAATGTTCTATATATGTCTGTTCTGTCCATTTCATCTATAGTGTTGTTTAAATCCACTGTTTCCTGACAGATTCTCTGTCTGGATGATCTGTCCATTGTTGAGAGTAGGGTATTAAAGTCCCCAACTATTATGGTATTGCTGTTTATGTCTTCTTTTAGTTGTGTTAATATTTGCTTTATATATTTAGGCATTCCCATGTTGGGTTCATGAATATTTATAATTGTTATATCTTCTTGATGAATTGACCCCTTTTTCATTATATAATGACCTTCTTTGTCTCTTATAACCATTTTTAGCTTAAAGTCTATCTTGGCTGATATAAATATAGCTATCTCTGCTTTCTTTTGGTTATCATTTGCTTGGAAAAGCTGTTTCCATCCCTTCACTTCATTCTGTGTGTCCTTAAAGCTAAAGTGAGTCTCTTGTAGGCAGCATATCATCAGTATTTTGTTTTTATCCATTCAGACATTCTGTGTCTTTTGATTGGAGAATTTAATCCATTTACATTTAAAGTAATTGTTGATAGGTAAGCACTTACTATGGTCATGCATTGCTTAATGACAGGAATATGTTCTGATAAATGCATCATTAGGTAATTTCATCACTGTGTGGATATCATAGAGTGTACTTACACAAACATAGATGGTATAGCCTACTACACACGTAGGCAATATGGAACTAATCTTATGGGACCATTGTTGTATATGTGGTCCTTTGTTGACCAAACGTTGTTTTGCAGCACATGACTATATTGCTGTTTTGTTCTGTTGAATTCTTCAGTCATGATTCTTCAGCTCTTAAGATTTTTTTGATGGCTTCTGTTTCTTTGTTGTACTTCTCATTTTGTTCATGCATTGTTTTCCTAATTTCTTGTAGTCATCTGTGTGTTCTTGTAGTTCACTGAAGTTCTTTAAGAGAATTATTCTGAATTCTTTTTCAGACAGTTCGCAGATCTCCATTTAATTAGGGTCAGTTATTAAAGCTTTATTAGTTTCTTTTGCTGGTATGATTTTAACCTGTTTTTTTTGTGATCCTTGATTCCTTGCATTGGTATCTGTGCATTTGTTTAAGCAGTCTCTTCTTCGACTTTACCGGTTCACTTTGGCAGGGAAAGACCTTCACCAGTCACTACAGCTTGAGGGTACTGGAAAGGTCAGCTGGTAGCCTCTATGGGCAGGCAGGGCTTTCTGTTGGGTCTCTAGTTGGGTTAGGCTACTGCCCATGCTCTGAGGTTGGGGGATACTGCTGGCTGGGCTCCAGGGTTGGGTGGGCCTGTTGGCTAGGCTCCATGTTTGAGCCAGGACCACTGGGCAACCATCTCCCTGTTTGGATGGGACTGTTGATTATGCTCTGCAGTCAGGTGGAACCACTAGCTGGGCTCTGCAGTCACCTCTGGTTGGCTGAAGTCCCAGGCTGTGTTCCCTGGCAGGGTGGTGCCACTGGTTGAACCCCACGATTGGACAGGGCTATAGGCTAGGCTCTGCAATCTGCCCCTGGTTGTGTGGGGTCTCAGACTTTGCTCCACAACAAGATGGTGTCACTGGCTGGACTCTGTGTTTAGGCAGGGTTACAGGCAGGGCTTAGTGGTCTGAGGTTGCCTCAGGCCATGCTCTGAAATCAGGCGAGGCTGAAGACTGTGCCCTGAAGTTGAGCAGGGCTGCATTCTGGTCATTGTGATCACGTAAGTCATTGGCTGTGCTCAGCTGGTAGGCAGGGTCAGTAGCTGGGCTTTCTTGTTGGATGGGGCCACAGGCTATGCTCCTTGATTGGGTGGGATTACTGGTTGGGCTTTCTGCCTGGGCAAGGCTGCAGGCTGCGTTCGGTAGTTGGACAGGGCAGTAGGCTGGGATCCTCTGTTTATCAGGGTTGTAGGCTGGGCTCTGTGTTTTGCTGGTACCATAGGCTGGGCTCCCATGTTTCCCAGGGTCACTTTTCAGGCTGCCTGGTTATGTGAGGCCCGAAGCTATGCTCACCAGTTGGGCGGGGCTACTGGCTTGGATCCCTTATCAAGTGGGGCTGTAAGATAGGCTCCTCAGCTGTTCTAGTTCTCTGGCAAGTCCTTCTGGAAGGGTGGGACTGGAGTGTATGCTCAGCACTTGGGCACGGCTTGGAATTTGCTTCCCTTCCTGGGCAGGGTGGTAGAATAGGCTCCACTGCCAGTATGGACCATTGACTGGGAATCCAAATCAGGCAGTACTGCCAACTGAGCTCCCTAGTCAGAGGGGGCCACTGGCTTGACTCTACAGATGGCCAGAGCTGCTGGCTGGGATCTTTGCTGAGGTACTGCTGCAAGCAGGAACACCATTTGCCAAGACCTGGGCACTGTTTTTTATTAGTCACTCCTCTTCTCCATCTCTATCAGATCCCCAGTGGTCAAGCCCTGCAAATTCCTTCAGTGATCCCTGTGAGACAAGCCCTGAGTGGGCCTCCTGGGCAGCATCCCACATGCTGGGGAAGCTGGATGTCCACCTTGGGCTCTCTTTTCCCACTGTAGAAACCATAGGCCCCTGGGGTTGGGGAGCCCTCTTGGTGTGGCACTGTGCCAATGTGGGGGAGGGGCAATGCAGTCAGAGTGTATCTAATCCTCTTACCCTTCTAATGTGGAATTTTCACAGCAGTGTCTTTTCTATGGATAGTTGCTAGTAGGTCTTCTTGTGGGAGGAACTGAAGTTGAGAATGACCTATGTGCCCATCTTGATGACATCACTCTGCCCTATATGCTTAACTTCAAATAGGTTATACATTCCTTAATAGACTGATAAATTGTCTTATAGTTTTGCTTCTCTGGTGCTTAGCTTCATATTGGGAATGTGGCAGGTGAACAATAAATGTGTAATTCTATGATTGAACCCTGTAAGAAAAGGAAGCATTATGGTATGAATTAGCTTCTGTGTATTTATTTTCATCTTTTAAAAACAGAATTGCTGCTCTTCTGTGCATACCTGCATTTGCAGTATGTAGTTTTTTTCCTCCAAAATTTCTGTTGTCAGTAGTTCACAGTTATTCTTATTGTTTATTGGTAATAACTCTGTGGGCTGCTTTGCCTCAGGGATAATTTGATTAGGGGTACTGCTGTTTGACACCATTCAGGAAAATGTTACACTATAAAGGGTATTGGATTTGTCACAGAATGACATTGAAGAGAAACCAGGGATAGGCAAACTAATAACATGCTAGCCTGAGTCTTTTGGCAATTTTGTCCACCATTTTTTGTTGATATCACTGCCTTCCTAAGAGATAAGCATGTGACCAATTTGGTGACTTATTTGGCAAGGGCAGAAATTAATACCAGATAAACAAGGTCATAGTAAGTTGATTTAGAGCCCATGCTTCTAGAATACTGTTTTTCTATCCTGTGAGGCTATATATCTGTTTGTGATGGAGAAAACATTTGTGTAAGGAGACAAGATTGGGATGCACTGAAATGAAAGGCTCATGTTGACCACATCAACTTTAATGGAGCTTATTTGATGTAGTGACTCAGCCTCTGTGAATCTGACTGTGATATGTGTTGTATTTTGTACAGGAAATCATCATCCAGGGACCTGCCAGAGACCACAAGAAAACATGGGGAGGAGTAAGTTTCTCTTCACTTTTAAATTATTTAGACTCTCTCCGTATTAATCCGCTGTATCCAGGAAATTAGATTTGTATCTCAGAGTGTTTTTGTGGACACATAAATTGTATTTCTGGTTAGTGTTAGTAACTTTTTGTCTGAAGCAGGGCTGTACAGAGAAAGACCAACAGACCACATGCACTGGCAAGGGTCTTTTTTTTCCTTCTGTTCTTTTCTGGATATCTCCCAGTACAGAGAGAGAAGGCTCAAACTTGATACTATATAGAGCTGCCCTAATCCAACTTCTTTACAACTCTTAGCAAAGTTACCCATATGCTTCCAATGGCTTCTAAGTTTTGTTGATAATAACATAAACAAAAAAGTGCTTCTACTATGCAATCAATGACAGTATTAAAAAGTTCATCTTTGAGGTTGATTTATAAATGGTTTTGATTTCCCCTGAAATGTTAAAGCCTGGCATTAAGAACCGTTAGATTAATTCCTTTTGTTTATTTTTCCTTTCTCACAAGGCTACTTATGGACAGTGGACAATAGACAAATTTAAGGTCGTTTTGTTGTTAATATTAACTAGCCACTAGTGACTTCATAAATAATCCTAATCAGTGTAGACCATAAAATCAGATGCTGTAAAGGACCTCAGAGGGAAACCTGGTGTTGTGTAGCACAGTGAGAAGAGTACTGAACATAGAGAATCAGAGGCCCGAGTTCAAGTTCTACCTCTACTACTTTGATCAAATCCTAGAGCTCCCCTCAACTTGTTTTTTCATCTCTGAGGTAGGATTAATACGTTCTGCACTTCTAGCCTCAGAAAGTTGTGATTGGCGTAATGTGATAATACAGATGCAAGTGTGTTAAGAACTCTAAAGTATAATGGAAGAGAGCAGTGGTATCTGCTCATTGCTGTCCTTATTGAATTTGAACAGTTAAAATGAGGCTACTTGATCAGATGCTTCTGTAGGCAGCAGGGCTGGGACTGGGGTTGTGCAAGTGACAGACAGTGCTTCCTTATGTTTTGTGCTCTGGGTACTTTGCTTGCCCCACCCTAGTATGGGCCCTCGTGGGCAGCCCAGGATTATGGATGAATCATGGAAAATACTTTCCTGAATCTTGCTGAGTCAGATTTTGCCTCTTTTCTCTGGAGCTTCCCTTGGAGATTGATTAGCCTAGGGATTCTGGTTCTTTCTCAACCTTCACAAAAGATACCAATCTCTGATAGTTTAGAAATTTAAAAAAATGAACAAATTAAAAAAAACTGGTCAAAGTTCTGGAACTAATTCATGCCATATCCTAACCCCAAGTCAGCTGTCAGTAGAAGCTTCCAGAATAACTATTGTGCCTTAATCCTTACCTAATCTCAAGCTTTAGGTGGATTTGGAGAATGTTCTCATTGTTGGATTTCATCATGGCCATATGGAAAAGAGAGCTGCACTGAAACAAGTCAACACATTTCTTCTTGTTTCCTCTCTTCCTTTTCAAAATGATCGTCAGGTCATTAGCGAGTAGATCATTAGGTGCTTACTTTAAAAGGTGCCTCAGCAAGTATTTGTTTAAATGGCCAGGCAATTAATAGAGTTCTTGCTAAAGGACAGGACATGGTAATGTAATCTGCAAAGATGGGCATGTTTCCAACCTGGAGATGAGATAAGGAAAGTGCTTCAAAACATGCTGCTTTTACAAACAGAATCTTGTAATAGCAGCATTTTGGCTCTTTGTGTTGACCACTTTAAAAGCATCCTTAACATCCTGAATCGCAAAGACTCTGTCCTTTACTCTCCAAGCTTTACTTAGTTTGCCTGATTACACTTGTTAATTGCTGACACTGTTAGTGGAAAAAAAGATGCTACTGTGTGCTTATTTTTTTCTTTTCTGGCAGTGTACAATGAAGTTTTTACTGGGTTTGGCAAAGACTCTCACAAACATAGCTCAATGTGTCATACAAAGGGACAGCAGAGGAAAACATCACAAAGACATGGGACCAGCCTCATTAATTAAGGAGCCATGAAAACAAAGAACACAGCTGGAAAAACATACACTGTAGGTGAAAAATTAAAATTGAGGTGAATTTCTTTTAGTATTTTTTTTTCTCTTTTTTTCTTTTGTTTGTTTGTTTGTTCTTTTGAGGAAGATAGCCCTGAGCTAACATCTGCTACCAATCCTCCTCTTTTTTTGCTGAGGAAGACTGGCCCTGAGCTAACATCCATGCCATCTTCCTCTAGTTTATATGTGGGACACCTGCCCCAGCATGGTTTGACAAGCAGTGCGTAGGTCTGCACCCCAGATCTGAACTGGCAAACCCCAGGCTGCCGAAGCAGAACGCAGAAACTTAATCTCTGTGCCACTGGGCTGACCCCTCTTTCAGTATTTTTTGATATTGGATGAAGAAATTATTTATAAATATGTGTTAGATGAATCATTCTTTAATTTATGTGACATGAAAAAATTTATAAACAAAGTCTTAAAAATGGTGGAGAGGATGAGAACAGACTTGTGTTTTTAATTTCTTACTAGGCCACAGTCAGTATCCATTGAATGTGGCATTGAAATGCCATTTGCTATATATGAGTTCTGAGCTGGGGCTTAGTATTTAGGACTCTTAAGAATTATTATTTTGATATTAACAAGTACCTGTAGAGCACTTCATAACTCACAGATATTTCTCTTATGTTATTTTATTTGCGTTCTAAGAGAACCTTGTGATCTAAGTAGGGATTATTATCTTTATTTTATGTATTCTAAAACTGAAGGTCATGAGAGAAAGTCTTAGCTGAAGTCCACAGCCTATAAATGGAGAGCCAAAATGCAAACCTAGGCCTCCTTATGGCATATCCAGTTTTTATTTTCTTCCAATAAACCATGTTCTGAATACTCTAGTCATCAGTAGTGTAGAAAGTTTATTAAAAACTTAGGAGCTGGGGCTGGCCCTGTGGCCAAGTGGTTAAGTTCACTTGCTCTGCTTCAGTGGCCCAGGGTTTGCCTGGTTTGGGTCCTGGGCGTGGACATGGCACCGCTCATCAGGCCGTGCTGAGGTGGCATCCCACATAGTACAACCAGAAGCACCTACAACTAGAATATACAAGTATGTACTGGGGGGCTTTGGGGAGAAGAAGAAGAAAAAAAAGAAAAAAAGAAGATTGGCAACAGATGTTAGCTCAGGTGCCAATCTTTAAAAAAGAAAACAACTTAGGAGCTGTCTGTTGCTGTGAGAAGTACAGAAGAAAATATTTTCTAAGATCTACAATGATGTTCATATATTTCTCACAGCATGGGGGACTGGACAGATAGGCAGAGAGAAATAGCTCAGTGTTCATCACCATTTATGGCAAGAGCTAAAGCACATGTGTATCAGATAGTGGAGTGCCTCAAATATCAAAATCCTCTGAGCAGCAATGATCCTTGGCTGCAGTGATTCGAAGGCAGCAGCACTGATTGGCAGTCACCAAGTTAAACAACAAGATAAGTCAACTCTGAAGCTTCTTATACACAACCCACGGTGGGAGATGCCTAGAGTAAGGGGCCTAAGACACCACTTACCTGGGGAAAGTCATCATTCTTGATCGATAGGGTTTTATTTTTGCGGTTTTTCTTAACACAAAGAATATAATACATCATAAAACACTAGAACAGTATGAGACATTCAAGGGGAGATGCTGTTACAAGAAAGAACACTATGTATAAATAAAATTATGTATAAGATTTTAGCAGAGAATTAACATTTTCACAAAGAAGAGAATGTAAAGATTTTACAGATGCGTGTATATAGGCTCACAAAATATTATGTGTGTAATACTAGAGTGTTTATCTTTAATCATCTTCAGATGGAAATTAAAACTTTATTCTGCCTTTTCATTCCCCCCTGAGCAGCTGGTTTATTCAAGACAAAATTTCAAAAGTTTCAGTACTCCACAAAGCAATTTCTTGCTAAAAAATTTTGGGGTTATTGTTTTTGTTACAATGTTTGAGTAGAATTTGATTTTTAAGTCAAACCTATTTTCCATCTGAATTTTTTTCTGTGAGAGAACACACTTCTCTTACTGCATGTTCTTGTGCTATAGCAGCAATTTATGGCATTTATTAGCCTAATATCAGTTATTAATGGCTAATTTCACTGTCTTTAAGGACACAGCTTCTGGAAGAAATTCATCATGCTGTCTTTAATAGCAAACCACAAGCTGCTCCTACTCTTCTTTTACCAATGAGAGTAATATTTAGCCACAAAACTTCAAAAGGATTAATTTTGTTTAGTTGTATAAAAAACAATACCTGGAATAGCTGAATGACAGTAAGCAGATAGTCTTATTTGTGGAGAATAATTAAAATAAAAATATGAAGATACTTTAGCATTTTTTTCTGTTTCTCCCCTTCCAGTATTTAGTCTTTGGGAATAGCTTTTACCTAGCATAGAAGAAAACCCTCTCTCTATAAAATCTTAATCTGAAAAGTCAGTTTCTATCTTTATTTTCTGTACTTCATGATAACATGCCCTTGATGTTCTAGTATACATGAACATATTTCTGTGCTATGAAGAAACAGTGGCATTTTTGCTGCCAGTTAGTCTTTGTTTTTTATTAAAACACAGCAGCATAATTCCTTTGGGTCCCTGGATGTGCTTGGCTCCTTTAGCCCAGGGAACCCAAATATGTCCCCCTACTTATCAAGACTTAGTGGAAGGAAAGATGGGTTATAGCTACCACAGTAAATCTCTAAGCTCTTAGATTCACTGCTGCTCAGTTGAGGCCAATCCTAAACGTTAACTCTGAGCATACAGCTCCATATTTTCAAACAGAGAATGAATGTTCAAACTGGTAAGGCTTGTAAAGTGACTATCTCATAATGTAGTGCCTAATTTTATTTGACAGCTCCCTGGTTTATAGTTCAAGTGAAGGCACATATTTAAAGACAATTAATTATTTCATTTTCTGGCCTATATTAAATCTGAGAGTCTCTTTATTACAGTAGCATATTCGTGCCTCTGCAGTTTAGATGATGTCACCAATTTATTG